CTAACTGGGTGGATGGGCATTCTCGAGCATTGTGGCATTGCAGACTATGGGGGTCTTGAGAGGCCCCTAGATCTCAGGGAGTCTTTGCATTGCTTGAGGCCTTGGAAGAGGTCCAGATGCTCTTTCTTCTCCAGCAGAAGCGCTCATCATGCTTTGTGCCAAGCCTCTCCCACCCTTGAGATGGAATCACGAGTTTCAGGCTGACACTGAGCATGGAAACATATGTGGTTCATGATGGTTAAAGAGTGGTACCTCCATTTTTGTTGTTAGTCTTTTATTGTTCTGCTCTTTTAGAGGAGTTGGTTCATTTTCATGTTCATTTACTGAGAAATTCACAGCAGGAAACGGAAGTCTGAGACCCACAGACCCTTTCTGAGAGAAGCCACGGATGGCAGCTTGGTGCCATGCCAGCCCAGGGAGGGAATGATGCCAACACCCTGCCCAGAAGCTCTGCCCCTCCAACAATGGGCACCTATGTGCATTGCATTATTCTTTCTTAGAAGAAGCAATGGAAATCATGTTATCTGCAGGAGATGGGTGGGATTGGAGACCATCATGTTAGCCAAACAAGCAAGACTTAGTCAAATGTCACGTTTTCAGTCCTATGAGGACTCTAAAAAAACTCGGAGAAATAGAAAAAAAGAAAGAGATCAAAGGAAAATAGAGGGCAGATTTTCAGAGAAGGGAAAGAGGAGTGATGGAGTGAACAGAATCAAAACATGTTACACACATGTCTGGGTGTGCCAAAATGAAACCCATTGTTCTGTGTAACTAACGTAACTAATAAAATAAAAAGAAAAGTAAAAAGGTAAGTAATATTAGAAATAAAACAAAAAGAAACAGTGGTGAAAGGAGAAGGTTGTTTGCTTTCTTGGCAAAGTGAAAACCTGGCAAACGCGTACTTCTCTCCGGTTTTTCCCTCTTCTCTGTGAGACCCGTCATTAGGTCCACTGCTCTGCACGCAGGCTTTCCACGGCATGCGGCTGGGGTGAGCTGGCTTAGGGGAGTCGCTTTTGCAGAGCGCCAGCTTGCTGTGAGCTGACGCTTGCTTCAGCCTCCTCTGGCGTTGCATAGCGAGGAGCAGGTGGGTCCTGGCTGGCACCGCTGTGGACGTGGACGGCAGGTACCGCTGAGCCCCGGAGCAGCGGGCACCACACAGGGCCTGTGAGCAGGGCCGGAGACGCCTCTGGAGGGAGAGCTTGGGGCGGGGTGGGGGGACTCCTCATGTCCGGGTCCTCCTCCTCTTCCTCCCGGGTTCTTGTAGGAATCGTGGGGGCCCCGGGGAAACGATTCCTTCAGGGGCCAGTTTATTCAGCGGAAGTTAACTTGCTTGTTTTTAAATAATCAGGGTCCGGATACCAGATTTTTAATTTTAGAAAACTCAAAAATAAAGCAAAAAGATAAATAGAAGTTTCAGTAAAAAATAAAAGCAGCAACAGCAGAAGCTTCACTCTTTTGCCTCTTGTGCACAAAAATGCATGATGTGGAGCTTTTGGAGCCCAGAACTGAAAAACAGAGAATTCACGAAATGGATTTGCAGCTGTGCTGGAGGGGGGTCCCGCATCGCTTCACTGTGTCATCATCGTTCTCCATGGTTCTGGGGCAGGACGCTGCAGAGGTATTAGCAGGAGGTAAGAAACCAGAATCATATTCCTGGGAGAAAAATCTCCCTGATTTGCAGGAAGATCCTGGATCTGACTTATGGCTTCTAAGTCGCCAAGGTCAGTTCGGGAATAGAATAGGCCTCGCTGGGTTTTGCTGGCTCCTCCTGCTCCCCCTCTTCCCCACCCTCCAAGGGTAACTTCGGTTTCTTCAGAATAATATTTTGTTTTGTTTTTGTGGGGTTTTTTGGTACCGGGGATCGAACTTGGGTCCTTGTGCTTGCAAGGCAGGCGGCGGAAGCACTGAGCTAAATCCCCGGCCCCGGAGTTATAGTTAAGCAGCAGCCATCTTGCCCATTTGTCTGCAGAGTGACCCACTGGGCCACATGTACGGGGGACTCTGGGAGACTGGCTGCCCGGAGACTGGGGTATGGGTGGGTGTGAGTGGTGTACACTTGGAGACCGGAAGGTCTTGGTAAACGTAATTTAAAAATCTTAAAGGAAGGGAGGGACAAGAAAAAGAAAAAAGAGAATGGAAGGAAAAAAAATGGAAACAAAGCTTTTGTAAATAAGGAGGGGAAGAAGGGTTGAAGAGAGGGGAGGGACATGGAGAAAAAAAGAAGAATCACGATCTATCATGTACAGCTCCAAATTCCCTATGATGAGTGTGATCTTTATGTGCATCTAAAATGTACCAACCAAATAAATTTGCCATGAAAAAAATCTTAAAAGCTGCAGCCAAAGCCCACAGCTGTGTGAGAGGGTGGCGAGCAGAGGTGTGCTGTGTGCCCACCCGGGAGGGCCAGGACCCTCAGATGAGCCCTGGGGCGGCCGTCTGGGAACGAAGCAGAGGGACCATGGTTTCTGCCAGGGCGGGACTGAGGAGAGAGAGTCTCCTCAAAGGCAAGGCTCGCTGCTACCTGTCCTGTGATGGGGAGGCACCTGTGGGGAGCCCTGGGGAGCCGAGCAGGAAAGCTGGATCCTCCAAAGCACAGCAGGCCGTGCGCTTCTGCCACGTAATGCCCGGGGGACCCTACAGCCGCACTGTGGAGCTGCCAGGAGCCCTGTCCCCAGGGATCCCGGCCAGCACTGCTGCTTCTAAAGGAGTAGACAGAGCTCATGCAGCCTTCGCATCAGTTTTAGTTCTTTTATCATCTGATTGTGAAATAGTTGTAAAACTACAGCAAAGAAAAAGGATTGGAGAAACCCTAAGCGAGTTTCCATACACCTGAAAAATAGAGCTTAGGTGTATGACAAGTGTCCTGTGCTATGGAGGATGCTGGGAGGCTGAGGCGGGAGGGTGGCAAATTCAAACCAGGCCGAGCAGTCTATGTGTGTGGGAATCTAGTGGCTGTCCAGGCTCCAGGGATTGGACGTCTCCAGGTGGGAACCAGGCAACTAGATGTTCACAGAACCAGATCTCTCCCTCTACCTTTAGTGGTGGAGTTGATCTTCCAAATCCTTGTCTTCAGCCCAGACACAGTGTGGGTGTTGAAGGTTCACATCCAGGCACTCCTGAGCTCTGTGATGTCTTATTGGCAAAGCTCAACATATTTAAAGAATTCTTTTGCCGGGGATTTAGCTCAGTGGTTCCGGCACCTGCCTCGCAAGCAAAAGGTCCCGAGTTCAATTCCCGATACAAACCGCCCCCCCCAACCCCAAATTCTTTTCCAACTGAGTCAAAAACCTAGTACTTATTCTGGGTTCTTTCCTCTTCCCTTCAGTCACCATATTTGGCCAACTTCTGGAATCCCCCTCCCACAGCCCTCTCTGTCCCTTCCCTGTCATAGCCTAGCTCAGGCCCCTCAGTGGCTGTCACCAGGGCCATCCAGGTAGTGACCTTCTGGAAGTTCCCATTGGCCACACCACTCCCATGCTTTACCCGTCCCCACAACATCAGTTGTCATTAGGGAAATGCAGATGAGAGGCCGTGCACACCCATCGGAAGGGCTAAGACAAAAGTAGTGACACCACCGAATGCTGGTGAGGATGGGAAAATCTGGATCACTCATACAGTACTGGTGGGAATGTAGAATGGCATAGACTCTCTGGAAAACAGTCTGATGGTTTCTTAAAAACCTAAAACTTCGATGGCCATAGCACCTTACAGTTGTACTTACCCCGGTGATTTCCCGGGGTGGGGGTGCTGTTTCCATGAAAACCTGTACACAGATGATCCCTGTGGCTTTGTTCCTGACAGTCAGACTGTCCTTGGAGCCCGGCTGTCTTCCATAGGTGAATGGTTAAGCAAACCGTGAGACCTCTGGACCCTGCAGTCCTATTCCACAGAGGAGAGCATTGCTGATGTGTGCTATACATAAAGGGATGAATGGCCAGGAAGTGATGCTGAGCATAAGAGAAGTAAACCCACAGTATGTGTGAGTGTATGAATGTGGTCACACAACACTGTGAAAATGACAGCATGCTGTAAATGGAGACTAGTTAATGGTTTCCAGGCATTTGGGGTAGGGGGCAGGGAGGAAAGTTGTGTTTATTATTATTATTATTATTATTATTTTTTGGTACCGGGGATTGAACTCGGGACTTCCCGCTTGCAAGGCAGGCGGTGGAACCACTGAGCTAAATCCCCGGCCCCTGTGTGCTTATTATTAATGGCAGCAGGAGGGATCTTCGTGTGAGGGTGGATATAAATCCAAAAGACACCATCAAGCACAATAAAACCTGGGAATCAGAGCAAGATGTGGGAGGATTGTATATGTGTCAATATATATGTGTGTCATTGTCCCATACTTTTGCAAAATGTTACCATTCAGGGAAACTAAGTGTACAAGAGATTTCTTTACTGTTTCTCATGACTGCATGTGCATCCACAGTGATCTCCATTTGTCAGTTTAAAAACATTTACATTTATTAACAAAATTTTTATTGTAGTAAAATGTATGCAACGTAAAATTTGCCACCCTGACCATTTTTAACCTGCAGTTCTGTGGCTTTAAGGACATTCTTCTCATGGTTGAGTGACCATCATAGTCTCCCATCTCGAGGACTTTTTTGTCTTCTCCAACTGGAGCATTGTGCCATCTAAATACTTCTTATTCCTCCTGCCCCGTTAATTTTTATTTACCTGAGAAAAACCTTCACATCAGAACTCCTCCTGAGGCCCGCATCCCCCAGGACAAGCTGTCTCAGGGCCCCTCCTGTGACCTCGCTTTACTTCCTACTCCGGACACCCAGCCTCTCTCTGCCTTTCCGACTCCTACTCCGTTGCAGGGCCCCAGAAGGGGTTTTAGCAGCGCGTTCACAAGGCCACACGTTCTGTAAATTTGCAGAAGTGAGAGACACGCACTGCAATCAGCAGTCATTTCCGGTATTTTCTCCACCGGCCGGAAGTTGTTGACTATTTCGACTCTTAGCCTCTGTGGCATGGTTTCTTTTTAGGTCTGGCAAGCCTGGAGTTTTCTTTCATGAGTCTGTTGTGAGGATGTCTGCCTGCTATGGAGCTGTTCAAGCCTCACAGTATGGGACGATGTGTCAAGACCTATGAAAGGTATTTTCAAAGACTTGGAAGAGAGGAGCCTGAACGTAAATGAGAGGCAAAAAGTTTACTCAGAAAGTCAATAAAGCTTGAATATGCATTCTTCTTGGAATCGGGAAATAGGTTCTGGAATATTTCAATAACAGAAGTGAAAAATTACAGACTCTGATTTGGACGTAGATGAAAGCAACCTTAATTTGTTATCATTAAATTTATTTATTAAAGGATGGAGTGCTGGGCAGGGTAGAACATGCCTGTAGTCCCAGTTACTGTACTTAGAAGGCAGAGGATCCGCTGAGCCCAGGAATTTGAGAGCAACCTGGGCAACAGAGTGAGACCACATCTCTTAAGAAAACAAGGAAGGGAGGAAGAAGGAAGGAAAGAAAGGAAGAAAGGAAAGAAAGGGAGAAAGAAAAAGAGAAAAATAAATGCAGGTGAACTTGATTTTTATGAACAAAATATGCTCAAAATAAACACCAAAATCAGTAGAAAACATTCTGGCTTTTAAAAAAATTATAGAAAATTTAAGAAATATATTTAAAGAAAAAATTCAGTAAGAGAAAGATAGTATACTACTTCTAATAAAAGTAATGATTAAGATCTTGGGTACTTTGATAACCCAGTTAATTGTGAGGACCAAATCATGTGAACACATTGGAAAAATTTTTAAGTTTTTTGCTGATTTCCCCCAAATCAGTGACATCAGCAAGATAAACTTTTACTATTCACAGTACCAAGAAATCAGCCACAACTGGCCAATGAGTTTCATCAATTCAAAGACTTCAGAGACTATCAAGATTAGTGATTAGTCAACCCCGAAGTCTCCTGAAAAATCATAGCTCCTGTACAACCTGGGAAGCTTTTTGTTGTACAAACATGTCAGGAATTACTTGGGACGTGGAAGGATTTTTTTTTGGAAACTGTTAAGAATAAAAATAAAGTTTCGATCTACCTTGTCCTTCAACTGAATTATCTGTTTTCTGTGTAGATCAGATATTATCTCCTGCTAGGAAGAGGTGATCAAAGAGTGTGTGGGATAAATACCTGAGCATAAAATCATTATGGGTAGTCAACAAAAGGATTAAGTAGTTTTTCTGTATAGTGTAAGATTTGTGATCAACTGTTACAAAATTTGTAATTTATGGTATCTTTTTCTTATTCTAAGTCAGTATTCATTTTTGTACCAAATTTTGTATTTTGATGGAGGGTCCTCAAATTTTATTAGCTTCGGGTCCTTCAAAAATCTGAATCTCCCCATCTCCCCCACGTCTTAGCTGCATAATTCCCAGACATCCCAGAAGACTCCTGTCTAACATCACCCCTCCAAATGCCTTAGAAAAATAAAACCAAAAGCCTTTGGTTATACTTTTTCTCCCCCGAGAACCAGTCTGGTACACTGGACAAAAATCCAGACTCAGGGCCCTGGCAGTGGGGGCTTGAATTCCAGCAACCTGGCCCTGCAGAGTTGTGACCTCAGGTAAGTTATTTACACTCTCTGTGCTTCAATATTTCTCTGGTAAAACAGGTCCAAGAATTGGACCAGGGATTTAGCTCAGTGGTGCTGTGCCTGTCTTGCAAATGCAAGGTCCTGAGTTCGATTCCCAGTACCAAAAAAAAAAGAACAGTGCCTAACTCAGCACTATGGTGAGGATTAAATAGCTTTATGTGCCTGGACATGCTGGCCAGGTGTCCCCAATACTTAGCTGCAAGACTCACACATGGCTGGTACCCAATAAAGGGCAAGTTAATTTGAGTTCGTGACCTGGTTGGAAAGAAAGGCTGAGGCACATGGCTTATTTAGATATGACCTTCAGTAAATTAATTCAGCTCTCTGGTCTTGGGCTCCTTTCCCATAAATAGTGGCTTCCAAATTGGGAGCCTTCATAGTTCTCAAATTCTATGATGTAGTAAAGATAAGACTACATCTAATTTTATTACTCACTGGAGTGAACATTTAGTGAAGTTCAAAAATTGCTATTCCCTTGACCGTTTCTGGATGTTGCTCTTCATTCTGATTCCTTAAATATTTTCTGTAAGCAAGCAGAATATAAATAGTAACAGGATATCCCAGCTCTAGACCTTGTGTCCATTGTCATCTTATTACCAACACTCATTGGCCTTTAATATCTTTCTTTTCCTTCCATTTAGCAGTATCCATAGTGTTTTGCATTTTTATAAATTTTGAGATTTGGGAGCGGTGCACTTTTGATGGGCAATTTTATGTCCTCTTGGCTGGCTGCTGGTGCCAGCTGGTGAAACACTAGTCTAGATGTTGCTCTGAAGGTCAGTTTTAGATGTGACTAAGAGTGACAGTCCCTTGGCTTTCAGCAGAGCCGAGCACCCCCATAATAGGCTGAATCTCATCCCTGCAGTTAAAGGCCTCAGTGCAGAGACTGAGGTTTCCCAAAGAAGAAGAAATTCTGTTTCAAGCCTGAAACAAAATCCCAGCCCTGATGATGAGAGTAAGAACAGCTTCCATTTCTTAAAATAAATCTCTCTTTATGTACACAGCTGTCCCTCAGTACCCACGGAGGACTGGTTCTGTGACCTTCAAGGAAATCAGACTCTGAGATGCTGCAGTCCCATGTATAGAGTGGAGCAGCATTTGTGTGTAACTGATGTTCATCCTCCCAGAAGTCCTCCCTAGAGGATGGACACACCTACCATGATGGAATCACTACGGAAGAAGTTGTCATCTGCATTGCTTAGGGAGTGATGGTAAGAAAAGGTCGACATATTCAGTACGAAGGGTCTCGCTGTGTAGCCCAGGTAATCCTCCTGCCTCAGCCTCCTGAGTGCTGGGATTACAGATGTGTGCCACTATGTGCAGCTGAAAGGTTTTTGTTTTTCCCTGAAATTTGTTTTATTTTTTTGGTACTGGGGATCGAACTCGGGTCTTTGTGCTTGCGAGGCAGGTGGCGGAACCACTGAGCTAAATCCCTGGCCTAAAGTATTTGGGGTTTTTTTTGGTACCAGGGATTTCCTGAATATTTTTAAATAAGGTTGATTGAATCTACAGACATGGGCCCAACTGCATATATGGTTGTTTCTCTGGGAATCCTGGACTCACGTAGCATTAAACAGGTTGAGGCCTATCAGGCTTATGTGTCCATTTCTCCATCTGCCCAGCCGTGACTGGGATGGCTCTGGAAAAAAGGGACAGGACTTGTGTACCAGCACGGGGAACATGACGGGTTCAGCCTGTGGCTCCCTGAAAAGCCACCAGGACAGTGCTGTGGGAACTCGGACATGCGGAAGTTTGGTTAAACACAGCCGGCTTTCCTGGGAACTCGAGCCTGCCCTCCACCAGCCAGGGCAGGACTCGAGGCTCAGCAGGACGTTCCCAGGGCGTGTGACCTTCTTCTTGGGGGTGGGGGGTGGGCCCTCCATGGCACCATGTCCAAGTTGGGTTGTTTTAAGCGTTTTTGATTTGTGAGGTGTTTTGAATGAGGGAGGGCTGCAGGCCAGGGCCTGCTTTGGAGGTGGAGGTGGAGAGAGTAAAAGTGAGGGGGTTGCAGTGTTCAGCTCCCAGAGGCTGAAGAAAATCTTGACTCTGGCCTTCCAAGTGCGGAAGACCACAGACAAATTGAGGAACTTCTTTGACCTCCCTCCCTCCTTTTTTCTTTTCTTTTCCTTCCCCTCT